ACCCCCACACCCCTTTCCCCCCGAGAATAGTCAGTCCACTCCCTTTCTATGCCCCTGATTCTATTATATTCACCAGTTTATTCTGTTCATTAGATTATTTATTCACTTGATTTTTAGATTCACTTGTTGATAGATGTGTATTTGTTGTTCATAATTTGTATCTTTACCTTTTTCTTTTTCTTCCTCTTCTTAAAGAATACCTTTCAGCATTTCATATAATACTGGTTTGGTGGTGATGAACTCCTTTAGCTTTTTCTTATCTGTGAAGCTCTTTATCTAACCTTCAATTCTGAATGATAGCTTTGCTGGGTAAAGTAATCTTGGTTGTAGGTTCTTGCTATTCATCACTTTGAATATTTCTTGCCATTCCCTTCTGGCCTGCACAGTTTCTGTTGAGAAATTAGCTGACAGTCGTAGGGGTACTCCCTTGTAGGTAACTGACTGTCTTTCTCTTGCTGCTTTTAAGATTCTCTCTTTGTCTTTTGCTCTTGGCATTTTAATTATGATGTGTCTTGGTGTGGTCCTCTTTGGATTCCTTTTGTTTGGGGTTCTCTGCGCTTCCTGGACTTGTAAGTCTATTTCTTTCATCAGGTAGGGCAAGTTTTCTGTCATTATTTCTTCAAATAGGTTTTCAATATCTTGCTCTCTCTCTTCTTCTGGCACCCCCATAATTTGGATGTTTGTATGCTTGAAGTTGTCCCAGAGGCTCCTTACACTATCTTCATATTTTTGGATTCTTTTTTCTTTTGCTTTTCTGGTTGGGTATTTTTTGCTTCTTTGTATTTCAAATCTTTGACTTGATTCTTGGGATCCTCTAGTCTGCTGTTGGATCTCTGTATAATATTCTTTATTTCAGTCAGTGTATGCTTAATTTCTAGTTGGGCCTTTTTCATATCCTCCAGGGTCTCACTAAGTTTTTTGGTGGTTTTTAGAAAATTCTTGAAAAACCTTATAACCGTGGTTTTGAACTCTATATCCAGTAGTTTGCTTTCCTCCATTTCTGTCATTTGTGATCTGTTTCTTTGTCTCCACATTTTGGCTGCTTCCCAGTGTTGATAGAGTGGCCTCTGTGCTAGGTGTCCTATAGGGCCCAGTGGCTCAGCCTCCCCAATTACCTGAGGTGGACACTCTTTGTGCACCCCTTTGTGGGCTGTGTGCACAGTCTTGTTGTAGTTAAGCCTTGATTGTTGTAGGTATCACTGGGAGGAATTGACCTCCAGGCCAATTGTCTGTGAGAATCAGCTGTGTCTACGGTGGGAGAACTTCTGTGCTGGAGACACTCTTCTGGTGCAAGACTTGCTTCAGTGGGGCTTTGGTGCTCACTGAGTCTGCCCCCTGAGTGTGTCCCTTATGGATCTGAGGAGTTGTAATCTGCATGGTCCCACTCTGACCACTGGGTACACAGGCTCTTGGATCTCTAAGGAGATGCTAATTTAGCCTCTTCCTGAGGCTACCCAGCAGGAGCTATGGAGAGATCTGCAGTTTCCTCTTCCTTGTTTGGGGTTTGGAGGTGCCCAGATGAGGCCCAGCTGTTAAGCAATGCAAGCTGCTGTAGGGCCTTGAGCCTTCTTTTGGATGTTCTGGGTCTCTGACCCAGCTGCACTTTGTTAGTTAATTTTAGATTGCAAAGGGCCAGGCCATTCATATGCAAAAGCTTGGGTGGGGCGTGGTCTCAAGGAATCAACAGGGTGGAGCAAACAGCTATGGCTGATCCTCAGTCCTACCCTAAGAGGCTCCGGGTCTCAGTGTCCCGGTAATCGCTGCAAGCACCTCTGAGAGAAAGTCACCCTCGAGTTCCGACCGATGCCAGACAGTCCAGTCTCTCCCCGTATGAGTCTGGGTCCCCAGAGACTCGCCTGGAACTGGAGTTCAGAGCAGTCGGGAGCTTGAGACTCCCTCCCGATTGAAAAAGACAACCGTGTCCTCAGTTGCCAGCCCTTTCCCATGTTCCGTACCTCTGCACTTTACTTCCGCACCTCCTCTGAGTCTCAGTGTGCTTTTCTCTTTCCTTCTAGTTGTAGAATTTCCACTCAGCTAGCCTTCCTGTGGTTCTGGATGATGTCCGTTTTGTCTTTTAGTTGTATTTAAAATATATATATATATATATATATATATATATATATATATATATATATATATATTTTTTTTTTTCTTTTGCAACACAGTATGATTTATTTATTTATTTTTTTATATTTTTAATTTTTTATTGTTTTATTGGTTAAAGTGTTACAAAGAGTATTACATGTCTCCCTTTTTTTCCCCCGCCCTTGACAATAAAAATATATTTTTATTGATTTTTTACAGAGAAGAAGGGAGAGGGATAGAGAGTTAGAAACATCGATGAGAGAGAAACATTGATCAGCTGCCTCCTGCACACCCCCCACTGGGGATGTGCCCGCAACCAAGGTACATGCCCTTGACCGAAATCGAACCTTGCGACCCTTCAGTCAGCAGGCCGATGCTCTATCCACTGAGCCAAACCGGTTAGGGCTTAGTTGTATTTTTGAAGTGGTTGTGCGAGGCAGCAATTTCATGTGTTTACCTATGCCGCCATCTTGGTTTCTCCTGATCATCTTCTTCAGATCTTTCACTATCATGGACTTTAGGCTCTGGTGAGACAAGCTGCTCTGTACGACCTTTTCCATGGACACATTTGTAATCAAAGTCCCTAAGTGCCCTCGATACAGCCAGAGAGCCATTCACACGCTGAGTCATTACAGAACCACCTGCACTCTGAATCTGTTCTTTTCCCAGCGGATTACTTGACTTGTGATCATGTATGAAGAAATGAACTTTCCTGTTCCTACAAAGGAAACCTCTCGAGTCTCCACAGTTAGTGAAATAAGTCTGGTGAGGAGAAATGAAGACATCCACAGCTGTTGACCCATTTCTATTTGTACCATGTTTCTTCTCTGACATAGCTCTCATGTGTTCATCAATCTCCAGAAAACCTGTTCTGATTCCATTCTTTACATTTTCAACAGAAGGTGCTCCTGTAGACCCTTTAAAGTCCTGGTTATTGGTGATGTGATCTAACAAATGCTCACAGCAGTATTTGGCAGCCTGAGAACCAGCATGCCCATCATACAGAGCAAAGAATGACCACGTTTTAAGTCTGCTTGGCAAACCAATCACAGCTGTATGTGCATCCTCCATTTCAACTCGCCAGCCTCGCATGCTGCTTAGCGCATATCACAACCCATTACCCTACCCATGGGCATTATGTTTTCCATCTTTGGCTTGTCTAACATGCTCCTATTATGTCTTGATCCTTTAGGTCCAGAGCAGCCCCGGGCCAGCAGGTCCCTGGTCGGCTGGCCGAGGTGGCCACGGCCTGAGAGGGGGTGGGATGGGGGTCACCAAGGGGGCTGCGGACCAGGTCAGGCAGGGGATGGGGCAGAGGAGGGGAGGAGCCAGGCTGCCTCCGGGGCCCTGGCTTTCAGCGCCCTCAAGGCTCACATCATCTGGGCATTGGAGCAGCGGGCAGAGAGCCGGTCCCTCACCCACCGGCTCAGCCACCACAGCAGAGCAGTTGGAAGGAGATCTGTCACTGATATTTTCAAGCATGGCTCCGCTGTTGCTCTATTTGCCCTTTGCCACTGTCTTTAGGTTTTTGAAGGCAACGTTTTCTTGGACCTGCTTTTTTTCTGTATATTTTTTACTGGGTTTTCATAGTATTGAGTTTGGCAAGTATTGTAGAGTGTTTTCTGCAAGACAGAAGCTGGGGAAAATGAGGAAAAAAGAAAAAGACACCGACTTTTCTATTTGTGAGCTCAGGTGGAGTGGAGACAGACAGCTAAACTGAACTTTCCTCATGAAGGGTGAGGTACTACCTATGCCTGAGCCTTTCCAGTCCATGAAGTTGCTCTACAACCCTCACAACCCCCACACCAGGCATGATAGCTCGCCCCACTCCCTGCTTTGCCCGTGTCCCTGTGATGTTGCAGTTGCTAATTTTCTTCCCAAACCAGCCAGGATGCCATAGTGTGATGCTGAGTATTCACAGCGCACTCCTGGGCTTTCCTAAACTCTATTCTAACCCCAGTTACATAGTTTATAGTTGTGGCCATTGGTAGATTTTTTTTTAAAGTCAAAACCAGATTAAGCTCTGAGGCTATCAGTGTTGTAAACTCTATAATTATTTGGAAAGTGGCCAGCTGGGAGCTGTGAAGGGTGAAAGTTGTGTCTGCCTCTGGAGAAACAGAGGACTCAGCATCCTCAGGAAACTGTCAGCAGCTGGTGTTCACTGTCCTCCATGTCCCAGCATCCTTCTCTTCCACTTCCGTCTCCTACCCTCAGCCCTGCCCGGATTCTGGAGTGTGGCCACGGGTAACGTGCTTTGAGAGGCACTGCTCCATACATGTTAGAACTAGTAGCCCCTCTGAGGGTGTGCAAAGGAGCCTGCCTTGGCAAGAAGTCCATTTGTTCTTGCCCACAAGTCATTTGAAATGGTTTGGTTCAAAACTAGTATTTCTGAATCTTGGTCAGTTTTTTTATAGGAACATGTGACCACTGCCTCCTATCATCACTGCACTAAGACACACACGTCAGCTCTGTGGAAATGGCCGGGCACTGTGCAAATGAGGCCTTGCCATCTTAAACAGCTACAAAGACATGTGGGATCTCACATCCAACCCAAGATCCACTCTCACCTGCCCTTGTCTCGTCTACTGTCTGAATTGCACCTATGAGGTAGGCTCTCAAATGAGCTGAGCAAACAGATGTGAAACCGAGACTCAAATAATACCCAGGTAACAATGGGTAATGCTCACATGCATTGCCAGTGGGTGTTTCCTTCAAACCCTACAGACCAGACTCGGCATGAACATCAAGAGGAGTCCATTCACTTCCCCCCAGTTTGAGAATCCTGCCATGACTGGCACTCCGGCGGCAATGATTCTCAAAGAAGCTCACGAAACGACAGGAAGCTGCTCGGCCCCAAATTATGCCTAAAACTATACCAGATGGTGCACACCAAGGCTCAGTGTACGTAGAGAGTGTATGATAAATATGTTTGCATTTATTTTCTCCTTAAAAATAAAACAGACGTACATACACATACAGAAAAGCAGATCCACTTGATGTGAGAGTGATGTCGAGCTCAAAGCTACTAGCAGGATGCAGTGGGCTTCTACCTCTGTGGTCTGGTGACAAGGGTCACTTTCAGCATCAGGTGTCCCGGTTTGGCTTCCTTCTGAGAAGCCCTTTGGGGATCTGTGTATGCCCACGTGTTCGTTTCTGCTGCTGAGGCCTTACTGATGCTGGCTGGTCGGCTCGGACGGCCACGTGGCAGAGGCTCCTGCCCTTCCCGCTGCCCAGAGCTCCTGTCCTGCTGCAGAGAATGGCCGTGTGGGAGGAGGTCAGACCTGCGGACAGAGACCAGATAGACTTTTGTCATCTCGCTTTTCTGAAGAGATGGTACAACAGCTTTTAGATTTTAAAAGTTAAATAGCCATCCATTAGTCGTTGGAGGAAGCTCAGCCAAGGGCACTGTGATTCTGACAGATGCCCAAGGTTATGGGTTATGCTGTTTCCGTGTCTGTGAACAGTGTGGGCCAGGTGACCTCTCAGGTCTGTCTGTCTCTAAGGCGCAGACGTCATGAGGCTCACACCCTCTTGGTGGTACATGCTCACATCTCAGAGGAAGTTCCACCCCTAGGTGGTTTCCAAAGGCTGCCATGGTGTCTTAAGATTTGCTTTTTAGTCCAAAAAAGTTACCAGGTTCTTCCTGTCTTAAAAGCCAAGAAGGCAGGTTTGAAATGCTATAGTCATAGACCATCAGCTCCTCTCACCTGGCCCAGAGAAGGTTTGGTAGTAGCCCTTTAAGAGAGAATATGCCTGGTGGGGGGTGGGAAGACATTGATAGTTGTAGGCAACACTTTTGCTACCCAATAATATATTCTGAGCCATAAAATGGATTCATAACTGCAAATGGCTTTCAAAGAATAATTTTTTACGGGTGTAAACAGCAGGTTAAAGACTTTTCTATGAGAAAGAGTGGCTGGAAAATCTTAGCCAAGCTTACTTTCCCTGGACAGGTACCTTTGCTCAGATATTTCTGGGCCCTCTGGGGAGATGGAGGCAAAATCAACCTGCCAAATAGCCATTAGGTCTCTACTAGGCAAAAGGAAGGGGAAAATTCATCCTAAGCATGGCCTTGGAAGGGAGTATGTCCTATATTAGCAGTATTTGGTTTTTCATACAATTAGAAAATGGTGGGAGGAATGAGAATTTTATGGGAAATAAGGTTTTGCGCATCTTTGCTGGTTGAAATAGTGCTTTGATTTTCTTTGATTTACTCTCCAGGTAAGTCTAGAGAGAATAACTGAGATAATTTGTCCCCTTATCATCCCAGGCTTAAACTAAGGCACCTGGGTCTGGGTGCCTTCTCTCTCTCTCTCTCTCTCTCTCTCTCTCTCTCACTGGAAAGGGGTGGAAGTGCTCCCTACATGGGCCTGGGGTGTGATGCCAGAGCAGGAACCTGGACGCACCTATCCCATGAGTTATCACTGGCCAGAGTACATACCTTCTATTGCTTCTTCCTCTTTCGTTGTTTCTTAAATAATTTTATAAAGAAAAAAGAGCCCTCTTCCTAAAACAGACCATACTTGCTTTAACCAAATGTGTTTACCATTGAAATCAAGTGCCACTTAACTCTTTTCCTTTGAAATTCAAACACATGACTAGACATAGATGTCAACTATCCCAACAATCAAGACAATTTATTATTCCTCCTATTTTCCCTGCTTCTAATTTCCAAAAATCTAAATTCTTTTTGCTGTAAGAAAACACATGTGGGAAAATTCTTTTTAAAACTGCTCTCCCACACCATCCAAAGTGTTTCCTGACTATAAAAGGAAACCCCACCACTACCAATGGAAAGTCCTTTGGCACAGAACTGGGAGAGAGAGGTAGGGGGGAACACGTAGTGTGTGTGGTTGAGTAGGAGGCATATCTGAGCCTTGGAGGCTCTCAGGCCCAGTGGACCAAGCAGTGGGCTGGGAAAGAGTGGCGGGTACCTTGGCTTGTCCGCTGGCTCCAGCAGCTCGGGGGTGCAAAGGGGGGTCATGAGTTTCAGTGTGCTGCTTAGCAAAGTTCACAAATACCTGAAGGCAAGAAAAGAGCAAGAATAGGTATATGCTTCCAGAAGAATGGCACCCTCCACTCACCTCCCCCCCGACCCCCACTGGGCTTTCTCTTTTCCAGAGCTCATAGACAGCCCCGCTGGAGCAGCTGTGTGCTGCAGGAGGGGAGGCTGGCCCACCTGAGGGGCCCGGCCACCAGGGCCCTGCACAGGGCTTGTTTCTTAGAATTCCAAACTGAGCCATAGGAGTGCCTCTAGGAGGATTCAAAGGATGTGGGGTATACAAGGCAAAGCAGATCCCAAGTAGCAGCAGCCTTCTAAACCTCTAAAGAAGAAACTAAAAGCAAAAATACAAAACAGGATCTGATCTCATCTCTCCTCTGTCCTTTATTAAATGTGCAGTGTGGCCGTGACTCCCCTCCTACCTTCCTCTGCTGTGGCTGAGAAGGTGCTGGTAACTCAGCTTCTCAAAGACTATTGGAGACTTGCCTATGCACTGCTTTATTGCACAGTCTCTAAGGATGTCTACTTAAACACACAGCAACAACAAAATACCCCAGAAAAAACTCAAATGTCTAAATGGATAAAACATAATATAGACATACAATGGAATATTACTCAGTCTTTAAAAGAGGGATATTCTGACACATGCTACAACATAGATGAACTTTGAGGACATTATGTCAAATGAAATAAGCTAAACAAAAGGGACAGAATACTGCATAATTCCACTTATATGAGGTACGTGGTGTAGTCTGCATTCAGTGGTTATGGTGGCTGTGGGTTGGAGGCTATTATCTAATGAATAGAGAGTTTTAATTTGGGAAGGTGAACAATTTCTGGAGAAAGATAGTAGTGATGATTACACAACAATGTGAATGTACTTAATGCCACTGAATTGTACATTTAAGACAGGTGATAATGTTATATATATTTTACCACAGTAAAAAGTGATCACATTTAGAAACCCTGACACATGGCATAAATATGTATCAAAACTCACCAAATTGTACAGCTTAAAGGGGTGCATTTTATTGTACGTAAGTTAAGCCACAATAAAGTTGATTTGAAAAGAAAAAAAAAGCCACCACCACAAACCAGGAAGGTTGAAATAAAGTCATAGTGTAGTGGGGAAGGATGAAGCAAACTCAATGAAATTTGCTGATGATTAAAATAGTGTTAGATAGCAATTTCTGACAGACTGAGTTTTAGCCTAATGGACAGATGCTCAGAGGTTAAACCTCAGGCATGTCCTGCCTCCCTGTGGTGGGGATTCCAGCCCTGATTGGGCTGTCCAGTCGGGACTTTGCAGAGCCCTGCTCTGCACCCGGCTCCCCTTGGGGGACTTGCCTGGTCCAGCGTGGTCTGTGTGACCGAGTACTCCTCGATGAGCAGGCTGTCCTTGTGGGAGATGAGCAGCCGGAAGATCCTGGCCAGGGAGGAGGAGGGGACCTGGAACTGGAGCATGTTGTGGTGCCTCTCCCTCTGCACGCTGCCCGGGAAGTTCCCCTGGAAGAACTGCTCCACGGGGTTCAGGTCGGGAAGCAAGTCGTCCTTTGGAGATTTGATCTTCATTGTGACGATGTAGCCATCTCCGAACCTATGGACGCCCACCACAGCGTGGTACAGGCCTGTTAGTAGTTGGGTCTAAGGCAGTCTCAAAATCAGGAATAGACTCAAGACTGGCTGCCTCTTCAGCCACCATTTTCCTCTCCTTGATTTAGCATATTCTTAAGGGCCCTAGGATTTTCAGAATAGTCAATGAGCAATGGCTTCAACTTAAACTCACTGGCTGCATTATTATACTGTTTTATAATAAGAAGAGAGTCAGCCTGTTCTTTGAAGTTTTCAAGCCAGGCATTGACTTCTCCTCTCCAGCTATATTGCATTTTCTTCCAATATAGAGCCCCTTTTGCCACATTGAAAATCTGCTGTTTAGTGTAGCCACCTTCATTCATTATCATAGCTAGATCTTCTGGATAACTTACTACAGCTTCTAGCTCAGCACTTGCTGCTTTCCCTTGCCCTTTTGTGGTATGGAGATGGCTTCTGTTCTTAGACCTCATGAACCAGCCTCTGCTGGCTTCTGCTTTTCTTCTGCAGCTTCCTCACCTCTCTCAGCCTTCACAGAACTGAAGTTAGGGCTTTGCTCTGGATTCAGCTTTGGCTTAAGAGAATGCTGTGGCTGCGTTGATGCTGTATCCAGACCACTAAAGCTTTTTCTATATCAGCAATAAGGCTGTTCTGCTTTCTTATCATTTGTTCCCTGGGGGAGCTCTTTGCATTTCCCTCAAGAACTTTTCTTTGCATTCACAACTTGGCTACCTGTGTGGTGCAAGAGGCCTAGCTTTCAGGCTATCTTAGCTTCTTGCTCAGCTTAATTGCTTCTAGCTTTCTATTTAAAGTGAGAGGGCTGAGACTCTTTCACTTAAACACTTAGAAGCCATTGTCAGGTCATCAATAGGCCTACTTTCAACATTGTTGTGTCTTGGGAAATAGGGAGGCTTGAGGAGAGGGAGAAAGATGGTGAGTGGACAGTTGGTGGAACAGTAAGAACACACAACACTTATGGATTGTGTCATCTTACACCAGTGGTGCCCTGAATCAGATCGCACATAAAAATAAAACAGTATAATAATCATGAAAACATTTGAAATGTTATGTGAATTACCAAAATGTGACACAGAGACAAAGTGAGCAAACCCTGTTGGAAAAGCAGTTGCTGATAGACTTGTGAGATGCAAATTTGCAAAAAAACTTAAATTTTTTTTTAAAGCGCATTATCTGTGAAGCATAATAAAGTGAAGTGCAATAAAATGAGGTGTGTCTGTATTTAATGTCAGTCCAGTTAAAATTCCAGGTTTCTGGAAACTCCACAAAATGATTTTAAAGTTGATGTGGAAAATAAATATGTGAAGGAATTGTCAAAGTAATAAAAAATAAAAAATCTCAAGAGGGGATTCACCTACCAGATATTACAAGGTAGCTGAATAACGCGCTGCCATGGAAACAGCTGTGGGACATGGAGCCACGAGCCAGACACAGTGTCTGGAGGCAGATCTGAGCCCGGTGTCCCCAGGAACTGGGGGGTCAGGAAAGGGGCCTTTCATTTTGATAAGGAAAGGCCACATGGCGACACAGAGTTATGTTGTGACAAAGTAAGCTTAGCTTCTATATCAGTGAATGAAACATAAACTCAAAATCACTTGGAGCTTGGCCAGCATGGCTCAGTGGTTAAGTGTTCACCTACAAAGCACAAGTTCCCGTTGCGGGCTTTATCTCCAGTATGGGATGTGTAGGAGGCAGCCAATCAATGATTCTCTCTCATCATTGATGTTTCTATCTCCCTCTCCCTCTCCCTTCCTCTCTGAAATCAATAAAAATATATTTTAAAAAAATATTACTTGGAAAATAAAATATAAAGAAAGCAAATTAAAATTATAAAATTAGCCAAGAATATGGAGGATGTTTGTTTAACTTGCAGTAAAGAAGACTCTTTAAAGCAAGAGAGAAAACAGCTAATTTTCAGGAAAAATCACGCTAGTAAGATTACAACTTACCTCCGTGCAGATGAACCCGGGTTGTGACCTGGTTACTGTGGAGATAAATGAAAATACATAAACTAAAAAAAGTGTCGCTGACACTGAGCTTATCTTACACTAAATTCAAGTCAATTTTGAGTACTGGCAGCTCAGAGGCTCCTGGGTCCAAGGAAAGGGGACAGCACGTGCGCGTCCTCCCAACTCTGGTGACCTGAGTACCTGTGTTTTTTCACTTTCCTTTTGTAAATAACCGGGAGTGGGTGGCTGCTTCATGTGATAAATACTTATTTCAGTTTTTAAGAGAACGGCAAACTGCTTTCCAAAGTGGTGAAGCTTTCCTTTCCCACCAGCAATGTGGAGACTTCCAGTTTCCCTTCAGCGTCACCAACACTGGGTACTGCTGGCCTTTTGATTTTAGCCTCATAGTCTGTAGTGGTACTTTCTGCTATTCATCTGTACCCCCTGGTGCCAAATGAGGCCAACCATCTTTTTTTTATCCTCACCTAAGGATACATTCTTACTGATTTTTGAGAGAGGAAGGGAAAGAGAGAGAGAGAGAGAGAGAGAGAGAGAGAGAGAGAGAGAGAAAGAAATGTGAGAAAAATTGATCTGTCCCCTCCCTTACATGCCCCGACTGGAGATGAAACCCACAACCTTTTCATGCACGGGCTGATGCTCCAACCAAATGAGACACCCGGCAGGGCAAGGTTGGGCATGTTCACATGTGTCCACCTTAGTAAACAGTTGTTTTTCCCATTTAAAAAACTTGGTCATTATTCTCATCATTGAGATTTGAAAGTTCCTTATGTATTCTGGATACAAGTATATCATTTGTAAGTATTTTGTTTGTGTCTGTGGCTTCTATTTTCATTTTCTGAATGGTGACTTTTGAGGGGCAAGTGTTTTAGTGTGTGATGAGCAGCAGCTCAAGACATGGACCTACCAGAGTCAGCCCTGCTGGCGGGATCCCATGCAGAGTGAGTATAGAAATGATGTAACACAAACATGCACACCACACACACACTCACATGCACATCACACACACATCACACACACTTACACACAGGACAATGCCCACACAGAAGCAAAGAACTGTGACTAAGTGGTGCTAGCTACAAGGTGATCTCGGGCCTCGTCCCAGCCCTGACTAAACAGGAATGATGAAACAAGGGCACATCCATACCTCTGGCAAGATTTGTTTACGAAATGATGGAATTTTGTTCCTTGATGAGGCATCTGAGCTATGTCTGCGGCTTCGATTCAAATAATTGTAAGTGCTCATCCCATTTGACACTAAAAAGGAGAAAAGAGGAAAAGGTCAGTTAGGAACCATCATCATCCACTGTAGGCACCTACCCAGCTCCCCTGAGCTGCACCCTGGGGCGTCAGGTCCTCATCCAGTTACTGGGGAGCTGCTGGACAGACGGCTACTGCACAGCCCACCTGGCCTTGGGGCAGCAGCCAGCAGCTCCTCACACTCTCCTGAGCCGCTGTCCCCCTCCCCTGGTCCCTGGAGGGGCCGCCCTGCCTGCCTCACAGCCCATAAAGTAAATATGGCCCTGTGAGTAGTGCCTGCCCAGCACACTAGTTATTAAGCCGAGACTCTGGCTCCAGCTGTGGCAGGAACAGGCCCCCTTGGGTTGCTCGCCCAGGTGCAGGGAGCTCCATGGAGCAGAGCCTCATGCCCTGCCCTGAGCAGTCTGGACAAGTGCTGTTGCTTTTGTTGTGTTTGGACCTGACTTATCTATCCTGATTCACTCCACCTGGCTCCTCCCACATTCTTCTTCCTTCCCTCCCAACCTGGGAAACAGCTGGAGGATATAAACTTGCACTTGGGTATATTCTGGTGGGTTTGCATAAATACCATCAAAATCAGCTTGTGCGCATGTCCTCTGTGTCTCCCAGAGCTCACACTTATTCTGAGTACATTTTACGTAACACAGTGAACTCTGACAGAACGATAAATACGGGAGGCACCGCACAGAACTTGAAACCTCACAGGCGAGGAACTTTGAGGCCTGAGTGCAAAGTACATGCTTTAAAGGACGTCCACCAGTTTCTCCTCCAACATCAGCTCGGGGTGGTTTCTAGAATCCTGCTCTTCCTTAATTTCACCCAGGATGCTCTCTGATCCATGTCCCATGACTGTGGCTTTTCTCCTCCGTCCTCAGTGGGCACTCTCCACGTCCTGCGTCTTCCCAGCAGATCTCACCCTCACAGTGTCTCTCCCACTCCCGTTCTGAGGACTCATCAGGATGCCCCTGTCCCAAGCTTCAAATGGCAGCACCAGCTGCCAACAGCTTCCCGTGTGGCCCCTGCAGTGCCCCTGCAGCGTGTTGGTTCCTGGTGGCCTCCCTCTGGAGTGCGGAGTGCTCCTAGTGACTTGCAGGAAGGCAGGGGACCACCTGCACGCCTGGGTGAGAGAGGCTGGCTTCCGCCTTGCTGCCCCCTCTTGTCCTCTCATTTGCTCAGCAGCCGAGTTATGATTTGCTGGGTCATGTTGAAGATGCATGTGACAAGGAATGGGAGGGACCACCTGCCCAAGACTCCTGAGGACTGACCCTGCAACAGCCTGGTGATGAGCCCGGAGTGGGCCTCCCCGGGGAGGTGAGACCACAGGCCCAGCCAGGACCTTGACTGAAGCCTCAGAAAGACCCCGGGCCAGAGGACCAGCTGAGCTGTGCTGGACTCCTGACCCACAGGCACTGTGAGGTAATACACGTGTGCTTTTAAGTGGCTGCATTTCAGGCTAGTTTTCCTATAAAGAATATCCCAACTTTACCTGGAGATTTATTCTTTGGTGTCCAAATGCCCCAAAGTAGACATGTTCAATCCTGAACTCACTATGCTTCTCCCCTCTCAGGGGTGTCTTCCTGTCCGTCACCACCCCTCCCCTCCTACCCCACCCCCTATCCCCTGCCCCACTCCCGGTTGCCTGAGTTAGAACCCTTTAGGTCCCAGTCCTCAAATCTCCACTTAGTCATTATACCCTATGGATTTGAGTTCTCTAGTGCCTCCCTATCTTGTGCCTGGAAACTCATCATGCATGTCCTGAATGTCTTACTGGCTCCCAGCCTGGTTTGCCTATCCAGCTGCTCGCCTCCATGCTACTGTGCACCCTTGCTCTTTCCCCAGTGTGTCCCTGACGCCATCACCCACTGCTCGAGCACCCCCCACCAGAAGCTTTAGGAAGAGCCTGGGCCGGCCAGGGCTTTGGGCACTGTTCCTGTGCATTGCCATGGCTCAGCTGGGCCTGTACCCGAACTAGGCCAGCTTCTCTCAGAGGCTCCAGGGAGGAACCATTCTGACTTCCCAAGAAAGGCTTCACAGGGCAGGGGCAGCCCCGCCCTCCCCTATTCAAAGACATTGATGCAGCTGCCAGGGGCCCTGTGCCGCCACCTTGTGGACAGGAGGAAACCACCAGTCCCCCTGCAGCTTGTCTGGCTTGTGGACACCCTGTCACTGAGTGGGATGTTTTCCTTGTTAGGATCTTAATGAGCGCTTTTCTCAGTTCCCCGTTCTATCTCCATGGGGTCCGGGTCCTGACTTAGACCCTATTTTTCTCTCTGAACACGTTAATCTATACTTTTTAATCTTTCGTGTTTTCTGCAGTTCTTGGAACAGGATTGGCCCTGCTGCCTCTCAGTTGAGGGCTTGCCCTTTGAGCACGAAGCTTGTTTCTGGCCAGTGGAGCGGCCACCCGCCTCAGGTCACATATGAACATGAGGGGAAAGAACTGGCCAACCTGGACCGGGGCTGGGGCGGGGGGTTCGGGTGGAGCGTACTTAGGTAAAGATGGAAGATGAACAGTTGCCCGATCATCAGGAGGCTGATGAGGTCCAACACCAGCACCAACACCGCGATTGTCACAAACACTGGGGTCTTTGCCTTTAGGTGGAAATATGGCAGGAAAAGAAGCCATGTGTCCTGACTGGTGATGTCTGTGGAGAGAAGACAGACACAGGCATTCAGCGCCTACTGTCATGGCAGCACCTCTCCTCAGGTGAGCACCACGGACAGAGCTTGGCAAGGAGGTGGGGGGGGGGATACCAGCCTAAAGCAGGTGACCACCTTCCTGTCCAGGTGAGTATCTCCCAGCCCAGGAGAACTCTCCCTCCCCAACCAAGTGAGCACCTGCCTAGCCAGGTGAGCCCTTGCTCCTTACTCAGGTGTGTGTCCTGCCTTTACCTAAGTGCCTTTGTAGCCCCCGCTGTCTGCAGTGGCCGTTATGATTCCTCCTTATGGGTCTAGAACAGGGGTGAGCAAACTTTTTGACTCGAGGGCCACAATGGGTTCTTAAACTGGACCGGAGGGCCGGAACAAAAGCATGGATGGAGTGTTTGTGTGAACTAATATAAATTCAAAGTAAACATCATTCCATAAAAGGGTATGGTCTTTTTTTTTTTTAGTTTTATTCATTTCAAATGGGCTGGATCCGGCCCGCGGGCCATAGTTTGCCCATGGCTGGTCTAGAAGGTGAGGCTGAGGGAGGGTAACTATGTCTAGGTCACAGAGCCTGACCCCTGTGCCTGACCCCCACACTCACCCTGTCCTGCAGGCCTGCAGCCTGGCCAGGCCCTGGCCATTCTGTACTAGCCACTCCCACACAGCCCTGGCAGGCTGCAGCCACCACGGGGTGGGGGCATTTCTAGGGCATGGTCCCCAGAGCCGCTCACAGCCACACTGCTCCCAAACATGAAGTGTGAGAAAAGTCTTGAAGGCTAGTGTGGGCGGAGCAGCGAAGACAGATTCCAGGCTGAAGGGTTGACTAAGATAGAGGAGAAACCTGAGGGGAAGCTACCAGAGCAGCAGCACGTACTTTGGTAGTGGGGATCCGTGCGGAGCACACGTGGGTCGACATGATGCTGGATAACAATATATAACAAGATGGAAACAACACAAAGCAGCCAGGCCAATGCGGATGTTAAGGAGCTGAAGAACCACCTGTGGGAAAAGCAGACACGGCTCAGAGCTGGGACAGCTGCCCTGAAGCATAGTGACCAGCATCAGCCCATCCCCATGTGTGGGGGGCTCAGGTGCCCAGGCAGCATAGGGCACATGCCTGATCTTGGCACGAGCAACCCTGACCTTGAACGCTGCTCTGATTGCCTGGTAGAGCTCAACCCTTCGTTCTCATGCTGTCTTGAGCATTTACAGTGCTAGGTGACGTCAGTGATTCGTGACCACTGACCACACTTACAATTTTATGTTGCTTCACAACATACTGATGGCGACCTCATTTAATCTCCATCAGAGATTGCAAAACGGGGGACCACCCTCAGCTCACAAAGGTAAACTGACTCCCCGAAATGGGGTGTTACCTTCCCAAGCGGCCTGGCCCACCTAGAACTTCCGGGCAAGATTCCATGGTGTCTCCAGCCCATGGGCCAGCCTGCTTTTCCCTGCTCCCCCTTATTCAGGCCAGGGCTCCCTCCCAGCCAGGACGCCTTGCAAACATCCTCTGTGCTTGGGGCCTGACAGCTCAATGGACAGAAAGCGAAGGGACCCAGACCAGCAGGTCACAAACTCTCCAGCCTAGTCCGTGCCCTGTGGAAGGGGCTGCTCCTCTCCAATGCTAACAAGGGTCTCCAGCGATAGATGTTGTGAGGATGGACTTCACATGGCATGTTCAGGGTCGGCTCCATCCAAACACGTTTCAGAACCAGACAGGGAGACAGGAGGGACCCTGAGCTCCATTGTACCTAACAATGGCACACAGCCCCCTCTGCCCATGACCCCCCACTCTAACCACGACGCCCCTAGCCCGCAAACCCTACTTCAGGGCCCCCGTTTACCCTCCCCTACCCCCAGCTCCCTCACCAGTAATTCCTGCTCCCAATACAGTTGTTGAGCCATTTGCAGTGATGGTCAAAGCCAGCGATGCATTTGTTGCAGGCCCGGCAATGTTTGGCTTTCTCGCTCCTGAAAGGAAACGTTTGGGAGAAGCAGCTTGTCAGCAACCTGTGCAGGTGAAGAATGGGGTCAGAGGCCCCTCAGCCAATGGAGGGGAGGGGGGCGGGGATCAGGCGGCAGCAGACCCAGTCAGAGTGAACCTGTGTCCAAGTGGTGGGGCTGCTCCGCTCGGCCACGCCTGCCACGTGGTGCCAGGGTTTGAGGCCTGGGGCCAGGGCTAGGATCTGCCCTGAGCCCTGGGCCCCACTACCAGGCTGGCCACTTAAGTTCCCAAGCCACGGGAGACCCAGGTACCTGACCAGCCCTGTGGATCACTGGGGCGGGGGGCTCATCTGAGAAAGCCCAAGAAAGACAGTGCTCCCTGGCTCCTCGATCAGCCAGGGGCCGGGGAGGCGGTGTGTGTCTGAGGTCACAGCACCAGCCTGCTGCATGTAAACAGCCCCTGCTTCTTCGGGGAAGCAGCATGGCACTGCCCTTCATGAGGGGCTATAGCGTTAAACGTGGCAGTCCACCCAGTGGGTGCAGGCCTTGGTGCAGCCTGGCCTTATGCCCCAGCACTCACACGGTGACCCTACATAGGCAGCAATACAGATCTTCTATAACATGGAGGTGTTTGGATCTGTCGAACGTGGGCACTGGTTCACTGTAAATCTTCTTCCTTCTCACATTATCCTCTCCCGGGTCGATGGAGACACAGACGAGGTACACTATAACATGGAACAATAACATCCCGCCGCTCACCTGTGGGAAGAGTGTCAAGGAATAACTGAACCCAGGCCCCGCACAGCACAGCACGAGGTGTCCAGGCCCTGGCGCCTGACCAGAGCTGTGGGCACAGCTAGTGGCAGGGACCGAGGACAGCCTCTCCTGCCCCTCATTTCTCCCTCCAGGAAGGACAAAGCAGACCTGCTGGAAGGAGGCTTTCAAATTGGGACACGGTCCTGCAAGGGGCCAACAGGTGCATTTCTAAGGGTGTGGGTCCCATGAGCTTCACCAAGGGGAAGGCCTGTGTGCCCAGGTGGGCACCAAGCTGCACTCTGAAGGTCGTGGGAGAGGGGCAGCCAGCCTTATTGGGGAACGGACAGGAGGTTGGCCAGGTGGCTGCGGGGCATCTTCTCTGGGAGCAGGTGAGGCTGGGACTGAGCTGTGTGGCCCAAGGCCTTCGCTCCTATGACTATGCTCCGCTCACACACCAGACCACTGCCAGGGAGTGTGAGGGCAGCATTCCCTCCACTCGTACCCTCAGCCTCAAAGTGGAGGTGCCAGGGGCACCGGTCCTGGGCTGCCCAGTCAGCTCTGCAGAGCTGCCAGCGGCCAACTTCCCAAGCCTTTCTCAAACTGCTATGGACAGGCATTCTCCCGGAACCTGTCCCTTGAGAACAAAGAGGTGAGTCCTCCAGGGGAAAGGGACTGTGATTTCTAATCCCTCCCCACCTACACAACAGGCAGGTGATGCCCAGTTAAAGGATACTCCATAGACAATGTTCTTCCACATGCCAGGCAGCATGGGAATAAAAATGCCAAACATGGCTAAGGCCAAGGTCACAAACATGGCCCAGGATACTGCCTGGTATCCGTGGAGAGGCTTCGACCAGCCGTTCACTCTGGACAGGCGAGGCGGCAATGTCTGCTGCGCCCTGCTTGCGGATTCTGGGAGGACTCTTCTCTGGCTCCTGCCACAGCTGTCCATCTGCAAGAGGATAAAGGGGAGCCTGGCAGGCCACGGGCCTCCTTCCCACAGCCAGGCGTGTCAGAGAAACCCCAGGGGTTGGAACCCACCACCCTCCTCTCCTGGGACCACTGGTGGTAGCAGAGGTGGCACGGCTGGAGCTGGGCTGGAGCAGGCAGAGGCGCTGGACAAGGGAATCCAAGGCGGATCCATCCAGGCAGCCACGACGCAGCTTTGGCCAACAGCTCTTGAGGGAATGTGGCCCACAGGGCTCAGGAAACGAAGGGGCACCCTCCCACCAGCACCCCAGGTGTGGGCCCTATCAGGCCCTCATGGCCAGGGAACAGCCTACAGTGATGCAGATAGCTTAGGTCAGGGTCAGGAGCATGGCCCAGGCCATCATATAGGAGTGGCTTTATGAACAAGTCCGGGTCTTGTTCATAGAGGTGCCTGGACTCATCAGGAGACCCATCAGTGTGAGATGAAAACCTGGGTCAACACCAGGCCCTCATCCCCGGGGGCAATGAGGCAATGCAGGAATACAACTGCTGGTGTGATGAGGTGATCTTTTATTCTATAGAAATCCTCCCTCAGAATTCTTCCTGCAAGTTCCCCTCTAAAACACAAACAGACACCAGTTTTGCAGAGTGTTCTGTGTTATTTCTTGTGCAGGGACAGGGAGGGCCTGTGACCTCTGGCCATCTGGTATCGCCCAGGTAGAGAGGGTGGGAGGGAACCGGGGGCCCTTCTGGGCAGTCAGGGGGGCAGGAGCCCCGGGAAAGGAAAGGACTGGGAGTCAGAGGGACCACGGAGCATTTGAGATGTGGGGGAGAGGTGAGTGGTATTTCACAGCTGCTACAAGTGGACTTTCAGAAAAACTCTGCCACATTATGCCCTGTGCAGACGTCATTGTCTGTTCTGAATAATATGTATAGAATATATAGTTGATATTAGGAAATATTCTCAGCATTTTTCTTATTACTTATGAATTCCCTTGGGAATTTTCCCAGAGCACATTTTGGCTGCTGTCCACTGCTTTTGGTCATCCACTGTGGTTCTGAGTGTGACAGCAGGTGGACATGGGGTCGAAGTGGCTGCAAGCTTACTTGGGTTTCATGACAATCTCAGGGTGACCTGAGAGGAAATCACTTATAAAACCAGAGCAAGGTACCTATGAGGGGGTGGAGGGTTGGGGAGAACACAGAAGGTAATATTAGTATAAAAACATGATTCCCAAGTTAAAAACACCATGCTGATATAAGAACCAACTAACTGAAAAAAAAAAAAAAAAACAACAGACAAAAACCCCAACATAGCCAAAAATCAAAGTCCAGAGAGGAATAAGAAAAGAAAAGAAATAAGATTACCTACAATAGATGGATACCTCAAAGTTGTAACTGGATTCAGATTTTGTACAATTTAATACAGAGCAAGTCTACAAGTTCTGAGAATCTCTGGAACTTAAAATAGACGCAGCCAAAGTATCACAAAAGTGTGAGAGCAAACTGGAAGCTCCTAACATGTGTGAGAGTGAAAGCACACGGAAAAGGTTCTCACCATGAAATCGGAAAATTACCCACAGTGGTGAGCAAATGAATCTGCAATTACGTCTGAGTCAAATCTACAAGGGAATCAAGTTGGAACAAAGCCTGATGGCAGAGTTATCAGTCTTTGCAACTGTCACAGGCACCCTTGGTCAGAAGGCAGAAGGAGAGCAAGACGGCATCTGCCAAAACTATGAGCACCAGGCATACACTTACCCCCAGCTTCTTAGGACACATAAATGAAAGCAGTGACTGAAGCCCAGAGCGCCCCCTGGCGGTGCTTGGGGCTTTCTCAGGAGCTCCAGCAGGCTCCCTAAGGTGTTGGGCGGAGCTCTGGCTGGCACTGATGGTGGTTTCCCAGGATGTGGTGTGGGACCCCTGCAGGCTCTGCTTGGAGATGTCCTGGGCAATGCTTGGGGCTCCCCCAGTCCCTCTACGAAGCTCTCGAAGGTGTTGGGCCGAGCTCTGGCTGGAACTGATGGTGGTTTCCCACAATGAGGTGTGGGACCCCTGCAGGCTCTGCTTGGGGGTCTTCCAGGCAATGCTTGGGGCTGTCTCAAGTGCCCCAGCAGACTCCCCATGGTGTTGGGTGAGGCTCTGGCGGGTGCTTCTCTGAGCTCCCCATGGTGTTGTCTGGGGCTTCTGCAGGCACAGCTGGGTGTTCTCACAGGTACTGTGCGGGACTCTTCCTGGTGCCGTGCCTGGCTTCCCAGCCGGTTGGGTTGGGCTCTTCTGGGCACTACGTGGTTCCCTCACAGGCTGCATGGAGCTCTCCCAGGTGCTTCGCTGGGCTTCCGCAGCTCTGCACAGGACTAAGGGATGTAAATGGATTCTGTAGGTATAAAGGGTATGGATTGCTATTCCCCACCTTATGGTGCTGCACACCCTCATATCAGCAGGATCTGCACTCATCCCATTAATAAAAGCCACGTGTAATTTTCACACAATTTGAAATATGTGCAAAAGGGAAAATGTGTATTTAGTTCAAATTCTTATCTCTTGGGAGATCAGTTAAAAAAAACTGAGACAAAATATCTGGCTTCCTGTTTATTTCTGGGTTGAAATTGGCACAAGTAAAGTGTGCTCCCCTTGAGTGCTCCCATGGCCTCTCTATGTGGACAAAGTGCCAAATCTGGAACAGCCCCTCCCCCCACCCGAGGGAGTAACTCCAGGGTAATCAGCCTCCCATCCACCCAACCACCCATCCATCCAACTTCTGATGTCCATCTGCTTGGGGCCAGTCCTTGTGGGAAATACCACTTCCTACTGCAGACTCAGCTCTACCCCACCTGCTCCACACGTAGAGAAATGAAACAATAGTGCTGTCCCATCTCCAATGGCACAGACCCATTCCTCTATACTTCTTAAGGGGAGGTGTGCTGGTGAGGACCCCAGGACTGGGAGAGCAACACAGAAGACAATGGCCAGAGCAGGCTCATTCTCTCTCATAAAGCCCACTTCCCACCACCGCCATGCAGCCAAACTGCTCAGGCCCTAGAGCTGAGAGCCAGGGAAAACGCTCTTCCTTCCTGTCCTGCCTAACACACAGCTTTCATATTGCCGCTGGATATGAACACACACTCCACCACACACACACTATCACACACATATACACACCACCACCACCACCACCACCACCACCACCACCACCACCACCACGTACCATGTACCACGCACACACCACCCCAGCCCACACACACCACACAAAACACAACACATACACAAATACACATGCCCACACACTACACAAACTACACACACATACACACCACATAGGCCACTCACTGGCATCTTTATGACACTATGACCTCTGTGTAAACATGTATAAACCCCGTCACTAGACACAGACCCCAACATTTATGAATCGTTAATTTGCTGGGTCTTGGACTATCTTTCTGGACCTCCAGTGGCTAAACCTGCTAGTCCCCTGGTGAGGACAGAGGAAGAAGTGAAGCACGCACCTCCCTTGCAGCCACACACACTCTCCTTTCTCAATTCTCAAAGACGTCCTGACTGAACAAAACAGTGTGCACGATCTTACTCAGGCCAGGCCAGAATGAGGACATGCAACCAGTCCACAGGACCTCCCTGGTTGACATGGCAACAACATAGACCAAGGCACCTCATAAAGCCCAATCTCTGGTTGACATGGCAACAACATAGACCAAGGCACCTCATAAAGCCCAACCCCTGACCATGCCCATTGACAGTTGTGGGGGAGTGGAGGGAGGGTGGGGACAGCCCCTGACCATGTCCATTGCCCATTGCCAGTTGTGGGGGAGTGGAGGGAGGGTGGGGACAGGCCCTGACCATGCCCATTGCCAGTTGTGGGGGAGTGGAAGGGGAACTGGAACAGATCCTGTGGAGACCCTGAGGATAAGAAGCAGGGGGCCTCAGACAAGCTGGGCTGGTGGGCAGCACCACCCTTCATCACCTTCACTTGAGTCCATTTTACATGGTCCTCAGTTCTACCTAGAATGCTTCCTGTCACAGCCCCTCAGTGACAAAGCAGCCAGCTCATGGCCCCCCCGACCTCCTGCTCACCGTGGCCCAGGAGTCAATCCCCACTTTCCTCGTCACACTTGACAAGTCAGCTGTTTTGCTCCAGGAGCTGAGACTCACATACTCTGTCCAGGGTGTTGGTGCCTCTGGGTCAGATCTGGGGACCCTGGCACCAACACAGTCGCCTGAGCCTGATGGCCCTGCCAGATGCCCTCTTAGTGGCCACAGAAGTGCCACAGCAGAAGGAGAAGAGTCAGGAAATGAGGGACATGTGAACACTGTGTGCCGAGTGGGGAGTCATGTGCCGGAGAGGGCTTTTAATGGAAACCAATCCGTCACTGGGAACCAGCTCACCCAGGGACCACAGCTTCCTTTGGCTAGCTTCATTCCTCTACATGAATGGCAAGATCCCAGCGATGGGACCACAAACATTGCTGAGCGCCTCCTGTTGTTCCTGTTTCTCCTGGTTCCCCATATTCCCCCTGCAGGCCTAGGTTGCCACCTTGATACCAGACATGCAAGGGTCTGGCTGCCCACTGCTACCAGAGTCAAATAAGTAGAGACTAGGCTGAATCTTTATGGTGCGTTTTATTAATCAGATAGCCGGCATCTGAGCAGCAGGTGTAACACCCTGAAAAGACTGCTCTGACATTTCATTTCAAACCAGCTTTTATACAGGGATAGTGGGTGGGGAAAAATCTAAAATCGGTGGGTTTCCAGGGTCTGCCTTTCTTCACTGTCCTTGCAGAGACTAGCCCCGGAGAAGATTAGTCGGGAAGGCCGTCTCCATTCAGAGAGGCCCTTCCTTGATCTGGACTCCAGGTTGCCTCCTCTCCAGGGCCTGTTCTTCCCTGCAACACATGCTCCAGTTCCCCAGGGTCTGTAAGAATAGTTCTTCTTTAGAGGGCGTAGCTATTGAACAACCGTGATTCTATTTCTATTACGTGCCCCTCCCCATCAACCTGACTGATTCTAGTTGATCTGGACCGTATCCCGAGCCCTTTTCAAAGTAGCCAGAAGTCTATGAAGAAACTGTTTTTCTTGGATGAACCAAAATCGTTTCAAGTAGAAATAAAAATTCAAATACACATAAAAGAAGGAAAGTCATTGAACTACAAATTAAAAATTCCCCATTTAGAAAATATCAGGCTCTGAAGGCTTTATTGGTGAGTTCTACCTAATGTTTGCGTTTGTCTGTTTACTGTAAATCCTCTCCTGAGGATATTTTTCCATTGATTTTTAGAGAGAGTGGAAGGGAGAAGGAGAGACACACAGAGAGAAACGTCTGTGTGAGAGAAACACATCGATTGGTTGCTTCCTGTATGAGCCCTGACCAGGGCTAGGGATTGATACTGCAACCAAGGTATGTGTCTGATCAGAATTGAACCCAAGACCCTTCAGTCCATGGGCTAATGCTCTATCCACTGAGCCAAACCAGTAAGGCTCTACCTAATGTTTTTAGAACAAATAATTCCAACCATACACAAACTCAGAAAACAGAGAAGGAAGTAATACTTCCCAATTCATTTCATGAGGCCAATATATGATACCAAAACCAGACAATGAATGTCAACATAAAAGAATTTCATAAGCTAATATCATTCATGAATGTGGAGGCAAATATCATTAACAAAAGATTAGCAAAGAAATTCAGTCATACACACACACACACACACACACACACACGCAGGATTATACACTGACTAAGTGAGGGTTATTCCAAGAATACAAGACTATTTTAACATCTGCAAATAAATTAATATAAGAATATTAATGAATTAAAATACATTAAACATATGAGTGCACCATACAGAAAGAGCTCTTGACATAACACATCTGTTGATAAAAAATTTCACAACCTTGAAAAAAAAACCCTCATTCTGATAGAGAGCATTTATGAACCTTAGAACTAATCCACACTTAATTCATACCAAATGCTTTCCCCTTAAGATTGGGGCCAAGGCAAAATGTTCACCTCTAATGTGCACTCCACATGTTACTAAATTTCCAGCCAGTGCAATAAAGCAAGAAATAGAAAGTAAAGGCATATGAATTTGAAAGTAAAACTGTTAATTTGCAGGAAACATGATCCTATCAAATCTGCAATAAAGCTAACAGAAATAATAAGATAGCTTAGCAAGCTGGTACGATAAAACCAATATAAAACAGTCCATTATGTTTTTATATACTAGTAATAAAGAACCTGAAACAGTACTAAGAAATCTATACTATTCACAATAGCATCAAAAATAATAAAATGATAAAACAAGTGCCCAGTCTATCTACTTAAAGCTGCAAACTATTGCTGAGAGAAATGAAACACAGTCCAAGTAAACGGAAATGTTTACAATATTTATGGATTGGAACACTCAGAATTGTCTTGATTGAAAATTTGCCCCAAATTGATCTATAGATGTTCCATGATCTCTACTGAATCCTCACCAAGTTTTTATTTTTAATTTTTAAAAGAAATAACAAGCTTATCTAAGGTGTTTATGAAAATTCAGAGGACTTAGAGTGGCCAACATAATTTAGAAAATAAGAACCAAATTGGTGGACTTAGAGTACCTGACTTCAAGTTTCCCTAAAAAGCTAGAGTAATAAGACTGTGGGACTGGAGTAAAGATAGACATAGAGATCAATGGAACAGAATAGAAACTCCAAAAAGGAAACTTTATGTTTCTGGTCAATGGATTTTAAATAAAGGTGCTAAGGTAACCCAAAGGGGAGAAATGAGAGTGCTTTAGCAAATGGTGCTAGAACATTACTTAATCATAGGAGCCCCCACCCAAAGAA